GGAGCCTATATCACCCTCGCAATCACATCGAGCTATGGATGAATGCATCTACATACCTATGAACAACAATAGTAGGTGTACAAAAAATATTGAAAGATTGTAGCAAAGGCATAAAGAAGCTCGTCATGCATATAACATACAATGATAAATGCAAATACCTACAAGTATTTGTAGGGGATCTGATGCCTAGAAGTGCAATCTAAGATCAAAGACCAAGAGCAAAGAAGTAAAAGAATTGTTATAAAGGCAGGCATTACAGGCCGAAGCAGGAGATTAGTTAGTGCACTACGATCCACCTACAGAAAGCAATGAGTAGTGCATGATAGTCTACCTGTATTAAGCAGTGAATAACTCTATTCAGAAGCTGCTACGCCACGCCACCGGATCTGCAACATTCTTACAAGCAGACAGAAGACGTCTATTCTAAAATATCCCCGCACGTGCACCGTAGCTTGTATACACATAGGTACACAAAGGGGCATGTCAAATCAATGAAATTCCCAAATACTCATATGGGCCCCGGCGAACGTGTTATTGGTACACACGTGACGTATAGGGATGCTGCGCGGGTCAATAAGTGGATTCTTGTTCGAACCCGATCCTTCTATATGGATTAATAGGAGTCGACAGGGTTCGAACCCTTTAAATAAATACACGGTTGTGGAGACTGATGTATTTGTTTCAATGCATTCATATTAGGCCTTCAAAACCTACAATCAAAAGAATTCACTAATAAAGGCTCAAAGCTTACGAAACCAGATCCTCTATCGACAGTTGATAGAGTCGATAAGGTTCATTCAAATAGAAATGACCCTAAACACCCCAATAATGACCGTGTTGAATGCTGATCTCAACCGGAGGGGTTCACAAATATTTTCAAATGCCTCCCAAAAGTCCATTCAAAATCTAAAAATCTCAAATTTCAAGATATTTAAAACTGAAATCAAACCATCAATGATTAAATCAAAATCCATCCACCCTCCACAACAGTTTTTCGGAGTGGACAAATTTAAAACTACTTCAGCTTACAAAGAGCCAAATGCCTAGTAAAAAATATTACTAGAATCCATTCTCAAATAGTCTCCTGCTAGTAAGGACGTGGTACGTGTCCTCTGATCGGCGGTTTGCCACCAAATGACACCGCAGGATAAACGGTTATGACCCGGGGCCCTCTGAACCGAGTGGTTTTGTCGCCAAATGGCACCACGAAATATTTGTTATGGCCAGCGCCGTTACGTTCCCTATTGGCATAAAATCCTTGAGATATGAATCAATAGGATATGATTGATAGGGCACAAATCCCTCTGTCAGCTAAGGTGGATTCAAATCTGTCCCCTTAAACAAACATTCATCCCAGGTCTATAAGGTCCTCTTGGACGAAGCAATCCATGGCTGCCAATAAGAATCCTTCTGTCAGGTTGGGTCGACTACCTCCTATGACTAAGTAGACCAGGGACCACGATGGCCTGGGACGACGGAACCATGAGATATTGATCGGGCCCATCATCCACCATCCGCTTTAAGTGAATGATGGTGAAATTTCTTATTTAAATATCAAACTCTTTAATTCCCAAACATCCAAAACCTTCAATCCTTCAATTCCAAACTCCAAATCTATTGCTGCTACTATATGCCAGATAACACGTATCTCTATACGTATCTGATTGACGACTAGCCTTAATCGAAAGTTCTCTCTCGTGATCGGGAGGGGTAATTAACTATAGGGGCTTGCGCCTATAGGAAACCAAAACTCAGATCGTTAAGTCCTTGCAAAATGAGGGCGAAATCTTTGGGTAGTGTCTTATCTACAAACCCATCTTCCTTCCAAAATTTACCTCGGAACTTATTCCGTTAAAACTCCCTCGCCGAATAAAAAGAAGAAGAAAAGCGCGGCGGGGAGGTCGGTGCCGAATTTTCAGAGCCCACAGTTCTATAATGCAGGAACTCAAGCAGTTTTAGCCACAAGCACTAGCATTCTTCATAAGCAACCTTAGGTCTTACACCACAGAAGGGAATTTTGCACAAAAGAATCAGCTTCCAGTCCATATGTAGTAAAACCATTAAATTCTGACTTCTCATTTACCTTGTTAAATCGAATTCCTTGACTATAAGAAAACTTGTATGCTTCCAATGCAACATTGACTATTCCTTTCTCCATACCACTCTTAGAGGTAGTAAATTTCATATTTTCTAATAAAAGAATAGTTAGAAGAAAATGGCATGTATGGTTCGTAGCAAAACTCATCTCTATGCCATCTTGTGAGAGCATGAATGATGACATCCCCATGCCCGCATTGTTAATCAAAATATTCAAAGGAAGATTCAGAGAATTGAAATATGATGTAATTTTGCTCACATAAGCCATTAAATGGAGATCTAATTCCAAGGCATCAAGTGGGATCTCCTTCATAAATTCATTTCATTCACATTGCTATCAGCAAAAACATTTCTAACCCCTAAAATGACATGAACACCTCACAAAGTAAGCATACGAGCTATTTCTATACCAATGCCACCTGAAGCTCCTCAGAGTATGGCACTCCAAAGCGAGATGTTTGAGCATTTGATTCGATGAAAGAGGCTAGCTAGCCACCGTCACTTGTGGGTCCCAAAAATATTTTTTGACATTCCGGACTCAATTTTGACACTTTCAAAGCTTAACGGGTGCCTTTATGATTGAGTTTGAGCAAATTTATATTTTTTGGAAAACAATTCTTTCTTATTCAATCAATTTGAAGTGTTGTGACATATATTTTCAGACTCTATAGGCTTCGACGTCCGAAAATAGGAGGACAACTGATATATAATCAAAAAATCATCTTGATCAGGTATGAATCTCATAGCAAAATCAAGATTGAAACTTTAAAAATTAAATTGGAGATCATCTGAACTCTGATTTCATCAAATTTATAGTTGAACTGAATGTCTCGAAAATATGAACCCAATGACACCAAATTTGATGCAATCCAAGCTCAAATGAGACCAAATGAAATACTTGAAGCGCATTCAGAAGGTTCAAACCATAATTTGGATTACCAAACAGTTTTTAAATGTGACATGCTTAAAATCAAATCGAGCGGTTCGACGAGATGAATCGAATGAACCCAAGATCATAAAATTATGATTTCATTAGGGCCTTCAAATACCCAATAAACGGTCCATGATAAAGGGATTCAACATCAGTTGTCCATTCAAACCACTCTCAATTCACCCCTGATCTTTCTCCTATTTATTGGTCATGTTACTCTCTAAAAACTATAAATAGACCCTCATTTCATATAGGAGTCTCAAATAAAATGGGAAGAGAAGGAAGAGACTCATCCTCGGCCTCCGCCAGACTTTCATCTGCCAGCCTACCGACATCGGAGTTCTGCCAGAATGCCATCTAACACTAGAGTTCTACCCGGAAGACGGCTGATGTTGGACTTCTACTCGGTGTTTGACCTTCGCTCGGCACCGAATTTCTACCCGACGTCAGACTTCTACCCGATGTAAGACTTATATCTGATGCTTTACTTTTGTCAATCGACAGACTTCTACATAGCGCTGGACTTGCACTAGTCGTCGGATTCCTATATGACACCGGACTTCTGCCCGTCATCGGATTCCTACCCACATCGCTGAACTTCTGCTTGTCGTCGAATTCATATTAGACGCCGAACTTTCGCCCACCATCGAAATTCCATTAGACTTGTACCTGTCGCCGGACGTCTGCCCATTGCTGGACAGTTGTCGGACTTCTATTTAACGCTAGACTTATGTCTATTACTGGACTTCTTCCTGATGTCATTCTTGTGACCTCCGTTGTTAGACAACGATCTTCATGACCTCCATCGCCCGCCGACTACGGTCGTTCCGAACTACGTCGCTCACCGACTACAGTCCTTCTGATCTCCATTGCTTGCCGACTACGTTCCTTCCGACTTACGTCGTCCACAGACTACATTCCTTCCGATTTACATCGCCCACCGACTACAATCCTTCCAACCTTAGTCGCCCGCTGACTAGGGGTGTCAATATTTGACACGACATGAAAACCCAACCCAGACCCGACCCAAAAAATCCGAGTTGGACTCGACCCGTTTCAAAAATGGGTCGGGTTCGGGTTCGCAGATTCGACCCGTGTGAAAAAATGGGTCGGGTTCGGGTTGACCCAGCAACCCGCCGGGTCAACCCGAAAACCCGTTTATTTTAAAAAAAATTGGATTCCCGCCCTTGCCCGCTGCCCCAGCCCGCTGGCCCGCCCACGTAAGTCACCCACCGACTACGGTCCTTCCGACCAAACAAGCACATCAATAGTGATTCTTTGTATTCCCACTTTGTAATGTACTTTATATGATGTACATCAAGCTAAGGCCTTCCCCCATGGAAGAGCCTCATTTGTAATCAACTATAAATACTAGTGTATTCTTTCAAATTGGATTAGATCTCGTGATTTTCCCCCTTTTCAGGGATTTACCATGTAAAATCTTGATGTCGCTTTAAATACTGCACCATATCTTTTTATCTGATTGCGTGCTGGATCTTTGTACAATGTCAAGACGTTAAATTTTATATTTCTCTACCGCCTCGAATACTCAGGACGCAACAATGACATCATAAGTTCTACAAAAAAAAAATATTTTAAGTATTAAATTATAAAATTATATTAATATATTTTATCTACAATGTTTTTAACAAACTATCCAATTTTTATTAATAAAATTAAGAATTCTAATTACATATAAGAATAAGCTTTTATTACAAATTTTTATAATTAAATTATAAACTTTTTCCTTATAACAATGACTATAATTGAAATATTTATAACATGAATTTTATTTCAAGATTTTATTCATCTGCATTGAATACACGCACAATAAAAATTGCATTAAGAAGACAATAAGAAATAAAAGAAATAGCATTCAAATTCTTATAACGTATTAATGGATGACAACACGTGGGCTTCCTTCGCCTTGGTTCAATCATACCACTGAATTTTATGTATATTTAAAGGCCTACCGAGCTTCCAAATCAGTAATTGTAACAGAATTTGCAGACTCTGCTCTCAACTGCTCATTCATAGAAATATCTTGTTCTATTTCTCGTTCAAACGACTCGGAATCTGCATGGCTACTGCCTCCAACATAGAACGGAGGCATCGACGGAGCTGGAAATGAGGTCGAGACGGAACTGATCATCAGCATCACTGAAGCCATGCTTGGTCGCAATAATGAATCCTCCTGCACGCAAAGTAGTCCAATGTGCAAGCATTTCAATGCTTCTTGAGGGTGATATTCATGTCCAAGGCATTCATCAACCACTTGCAGTGGCATCAGCTGATTCCAGTTCTTCCAAACCTGAAGAGCTTAGGAGACAACATCAGGATCAAGGAAATTGGTTTGCTTAATTGTATATGATTAGTTACAAATATTGTTGGTAAATAATTTCATTCAATTGTTTAACATCACCAAGATTTAGCCTTTATTTGAGACAGCTTTCTTACTGCTTCTTAAAGTGATTTTTTAGTACAAAATTATAAATTCTTTACTATAAATTTGTTTTAAGAAGTAGCAAAAAAGTGATCCCAAATGAAGCCTTATTCTGATCTAGTATGCACTCTCCAATAATTAATATCAAATATAATTATAAAACTATTGTTGATTTGTCGAGACAACAAGTTACTTATGACTTAGGATTTCTTAATTTTCATTGGGGCAACATCAAATTAAACATGTATGAGAATGTCTAATTAAGTTTAATATTGAAAATTTTGCTTTGCTCATATGTTTAATATTTTATGTTCACAACTAAGTTCAAGTTCAATTAGAGATGTAATAAGCTCAACTTTCCCCCCAATCTGCTCTATAACACTTGATCAGCACAATATGAGAAGAATTCTTACATAGCTTAGGAGGTCTAAAGGATGTCCTATGTCTGTGGAAACGCAATTCCTCCTGCCTGTGATGATCTCCAGGATCAGAACTCCATAGCTGAACACGTCTGATTTAGTAGATAAGAGACCATGCATTGCATATTCTGGTGCCATGTATCCACTGAAAAAATAATGGATCGAACAATCAAGTTCTATAATTGGGAAAACTGCAAAGTTATGACAATAATGTGTTATAGGTTTTGTTTGGGGCGGCTTTCTTGTTGCTTCATAAAACAGCTTTCAAGTTCAATGATTAAAATTTTTGTATTAAAAAGTTGCTTTAAGAAGCAACAAGAAAGCCGTCCCAAAACGAAGCCATATTCTTACAATGTGCCAGCAATTCGATCTGTGTTCTGTTGCGTCTGATCGATGCGAAAAAGCCTTGCAAGTCCAAAATCTGATATTTTTGGTGTCATGTTGTTGTCCAGCAATATATTGCTTGCTTTCAGATCTCGATGAATGATTTTTAAACGCGACTCTTCATGAAGATAAAGGAGGCCTCTCCCGATACCTTCTATAATCTTATATCTGGTTTCCCAATCCAATTGTGGTCGCTCATTAGGATCTATAAATTCAATTAATATCAAAAAAAATTCATAGGAACCACAACTGATGAAAGGAGATAAAACCTTGTTCTATTGATTTAATGAATTAAACAGTTTACATTGGTTGGAAGAGAGGTAAAGGACATGCATACCAAATAAGTATTTCTCGAGACTGGTCTTGGGGAGATATTCATAAACAAGCATCATTTCGTTTTCTTCCAAGCAACAACCCAACAATCTCACGAGGTTCTTGTGCTGAAGCTTGGCAACCAAAGCAACCTCATTCTTCATTTCTACAAATCCTTGTGTTGAAGTTCTTGAAAGTCGTTTTACTGCTATCTGTTGTCCATCTTCTAATAAACCCTGAATAAACATTTAACCAAATAGTATTTTTCTGTGTTGCTTCGAAAAATATAAGTTTATCAAAGTTTAGTTTGTATCAATACTGCAACAAAAATAATAGTGAAACACTTTCCTACCTTATAAACTGGCCCAAATCCACCTTCTCCCAGCTTATTTTCTTCAGAGAAGTTATTTGTTGCTTTTATAATTGTATCCAGATCAAATAACAAAGATTCAGTATTTCTCATGTTCTTCTCCTTGGGCAAAACGTCGTGGCCTAAAGCAAGTTTTGCTTTCAGTAAAATATATATCGAAAAACATTATCCTATAAATATAATGAACTAGTTTTGCTTGTAAAGGAACAGAAGTGATTCTAACCGGTTGACAGTCTTTTCAGTGCTCTCTTCTTTCTTAATTTCAATAGGACGAAAACACACAACGCCGCCGAGGCAAAAGCAATCGGAAGGGCAATGATAAGAATCTTTTTTACAATGTTGCTGCTTTTCGCTGAACAAAAATCGAACATGCAAAAAGTATTAAATTCTGATTTCATCATCTTTTTTTTTTTTAAATCTAGGAATTAAGAGATTAAATATCGACTTTAATTTGTATGGAAAAAATAATTTGATTTAAGAGATCATTGTGACTTAAGGGTTTAAATAAGTCGAGTTTCTGTTTAATTTATACTGAACTTGAACTCAAGATCGAGTTTGACTTGAGCTCATTTGCTGAGCTTTAGTTCAGCTCAAGCTCAAGCTCGATAAAAAGCTTGATATTGACTGAAGCTCGATTTTTTTTTAAAGGCTAATTAAAGCAAACTCATACAAACATCACATACGTAAGGCTCGAACTCAAGACCTCTTAGTTGGTAGTCAAATCTCCTAACTAATAGATCAAGGAATGTTGCAATATTCGATTTCTTATTTTTAATGTAGATCAAAATAATTAATTAGACTAATATAAATAATGGTTATGTTAATTTTTATTAATACGGTCGGTCAAGCTTGAAGCTCGTATGATATATTAACTCAAATTTAAACTTGAAATTAAATTTGTGCCTCAGACAAGTTTGACTCACAAGTTCGCTAAGATAATTATTAACCTATTGTTAAACAAGACCAAATTAATTATTGACCTTTAGTTAAACATGACAGAATTTGAGATCAGAAATAACAACTTACCGTTAGCACTGTTACCACCGTCAACAGCCGGCGCCGGTGAAGGCCGGAAAGCCCCTTCTGCAGTAAACGGCGGCGTTTGCGATTGTTGTGAAGGAGGCGGCGGCGACGGAAGTACCGACAAAAATGAAGAGGTCTGAAACCTCGAAATGCAGCTTACCGTCATAACCTGGCTAGCAACCCTGTCAACCTGAAGCTTCCCCGCTACCCCGTCAAGGCATTGCTGACAATCACTGCTTGATAGGTCTTGGGTGCACCAAGCCATTCCATAGATGTCTCTAAGATCAGAGTAGTTAGTTTGCCCTGATCCAAACCTCGATTCAGCCTCGGAAGCTTCTGGTGATATCTTATCCATCAGATCATGTACTGTCTTATTGAAGACTACAGGGTTCGAGGCGTTCTCGAAGTAAATAATGTAGACATATAATGACATATCAAGAATGGAAAAGAAGCGTTGGTCAGAGTAGCGGAGCACACACTCATCAGCGCGCAAGGCTGCAGATTTGCATAGAGGACAACCGCCGTTGGGCTTTGCGGATGCAGCAGCTGAGCTGTTGAGGCAGTCGAAACAAGTGGGCGCGGACACATCAGGGCGGCACTGCGCAAGGCCGAATACCTGGTCATCTGGCGAGCTTCCTATGGTGGCGGTGGAGTAGAAAGACGAAGAAGAGTTCCACGTGGAAGCGACGAGTTTGGTGATGAGGCTGCGGAGGTTGGATTCGTACGGACTTCCTGCGGTGTAGTTGGTGGTGCCGCAGGAGGTGAGAGGGACGCTCTCGGACGGCGTTGTGCAGGTGAGAAAGAGAAGTATTTGCAAGGAAATGAGGAGAGAGGAGCAAAGTGCCATGGATTGGGATCGTTGGAACTTGAGTCGGGGGAGAGGAGCTGCAGAAGGTGATGGGAAATGGAAATGCTTGGTAGCAATGGCATGAGAGCTAGGAGCGTGTTGATACAGCTTGTTGGTGTAATTTGTTGGATTTTTTGTTTTTGGAAAAATCTGGTGCCTGAAGACCGACTCAAGTTTGCGAAAGAAAGACCGACTCAAGTGATATTTGACCTTAGACTTTGGCAATGAATGTCAGTCTCTAAAAGAACTTAGCGTGGTAAACCACGCAAGTTTGAATAAGCGGCTTCATCTATATGGTGATGTTTTGATGGCTTATAGCCCTAAGAGAGGGAAAATTATTAGTTATGGTCACCGGACGTAGAGATATGTCCGGATATCAATAAAATATTGACATGTGAAATGTATACGTGTCCGAAGAATTTTAAGTCAAGCGCAGGTGAATCGTAGGTAAAGTGCAGGTAAAATGCAGTCAAAACGCAGTAAAAAAGCACAATCAAAGCGCACCTAAAGCACAGTTAAAACACAATCAAAGCAAAGTCCACGTGGCAAATTTTAATTGGAGGTCCCAATCTATTTTTAGGTCCAGTGACCGGACCTAATAACTTCCCCTAAGAGAGTACTTGTTATATTAGCATTGAGGGGAGCACTAGCATCCTTATATGTTTGTAACATAGAATGTGCTTTAATGAATCATCATTATCACATGTAATTTAGCCTCAATAATACTTATCCAAGTGTAGATATAATTGTATTGCAATAAAAGAAATATAAATAGTCAATTTTAAAAATTCACATAATGCTTTAACCATAGGCAATAAATTCAATAATTGAGTAAAATTTCATCATTTTTTAGAATTTTATCAAATTACCAAAGATTATTCAGAATACTATTTTAAAACTATAAAATATTATAGTATTATTTTTTGGGTTCAAAATTATTTTTAAATTATTTAAAACTACACATTCTTCATTTTACCTAGTGACTTTTCTTTAAAAAAAAACTAAAATGTCTAGAATACTTTTACCTGTAGTATATAAAAAGTTACATGGTGAAAGTTTAGTTCGTATGAAATTATTCTCATTTTTACACTACAAAATTATAAATTAAAGAAGAAATCTCAAAAATTTATAATTTAAAAAATTGAGATAGGTAGAATATAACCTTCCTCGATTCAAACAACTTTCTGAATTTAATCGATTGCAAAAATTGAACGTCCAAAGTC